CCTAAAATATCTAATGGTCCGTCCCTAATCTAGCGTAATTCAAGGTGAAACGCGACAATTGGGCTAAATGGGTCACCATGAAGTATATGCCAACCCTCGGCGTATTACCGTTCTATTTTTATTACATGCATTGCGGGCTCATAACCAAACCTTCTGCGAAGTAATTCAATGTGTTTTTCAATCTCGTACCCAGAGCAATGCCTGTGCGCGGGCTAGGATGGCATTGGCTCTGGGGAAATTGAATTTTTCCTGTGCTGTGATTGGTTTAACATTTGTCAATCGTGCATGCCGACAAAGAATCGGAACCCCCAAATTTAGGGGTTCCGATTGTCAATTTCCCCCGAGCCAATGACTTCCTAGCCCGCGCACAGGTATTGTCCTTGGTACGAGATTGTGTGTTTTGAGGCTCGAAGCTGTATTTCCCATCGAAAAATCTTAAATTTTGTGGATAAAACTGAAGTCGACACCACGAAATTGAGATATGTTATTTCTCAGCCTATTCCCATAGTTTTTTATTCTGTCTAAAACATCGCAGCTAAGAAATAAACCGCATTTGTTTATAACATGAAAGGGCTTGTGCTAAGGTATACTGAGTGTATTTTGTTCATGTTCGGCTTAATTTTGATCATTTTGGGCCTTTAAATTCTCTCAAGTGCTGTGGATGGGATTAAATGAGACAGACAGATTTCCTTGTAAGATTGTACATTTCTGTTTGCTTCTGTGTATCTGTTGTAATGTTCAATGTTGTAATCTATATAATATAGTATTTAAGTGTATTTTATGATGTCATTTCTTTATAGATTTATTTTACAGCATGTGTATTAGTCCCAAAAGTGGTGTTGCAATGCAGCGAATTTCTTTATTACCATCTTTCTACCCTAGATATGTGCATCATTGCTCAAAATTTTTATATTAAATAAAGATTCTCCATGTATTTGTCATGTCAATTCATAAAACTATAGTCTGTGTTTACTGTAGTTGGGTTTTGACAGTCATTTCTGTCTGGTTATCAGTTGACGAGACGACTAAATAGCAGGGACGTAGCCAGGCCTGAAAGGGGGGGGGGGGAGTTGTGAGTCCAGGCTTAATGTATGGTAATGGTTATATGTTTGCTGCAAAAGAGGTATATGGAGAGTTGGTAGCACTGTCGTATAGCCAAAGGGAGGGGAAATTATTGGTTAGAAAAAGCTTGGATGGTTGTGGCCGCTAGACGAGGTTCGACAGCGAAACACAATACACCATTGTTTGCCTATCCTGGGGTCCGAGTTAAGTCGATCAAATCATAACAACAAACGTCGATTTTTCATACTGGCAAAACGTTCGAATACTCGGTCTACATCAATTGGTCTGGTATCGTAGATGTATATCATGGCCAAGGAATTCAAACGACCTTCAGTTGTGTGATTACGCAAATATGTCTTGAGAAGCCGTAGAGCCGAAAAACTGCGCTCAACGGTTGCTGTTGATATGGGCAAGATGCTGGCAGTAGTTACTACGCATTTCACTGATATGTGCATTCCGAATTTTTTCTCCCTGGCGTTCGACGATCGACGTTCGACGCAGGCCAGGTTACGAAATTTGGCTCCTTTTCAAGTTTGAATTTTCCGAAGTTAATATAAACAGTCAATGTCTTGTCTTGAATGACAGAAGTATTGATGAAAACTGAAAGGCGCCAAATTTTGTAACCAGGCCTGTGTCGAACGTCGACCGTCGAACGCCGTTCGGAAGCGACAAAAAATGCGGAATGCACATATCAGTGAAATGCGTAGTAATTAACTCATATGGCTCCGTCTTACTTGATTTCCGACGAATATGATGGGAAGTACGTTTAAATATTACAGAACTATGCGAGTATTTGCAGTAGAAATACGAAAATACCACAAAAAAAAGCCTTTTGAAAAATTCTATGAAATCGAACAATGTAAAATAGTCAAAAATTATAAACTAGGCATACTCGAACAATGTAAACTAACCACCATACTATATACAATATACTCGAAGAATGTAAACAATGCGTCACTAAGCCATACCTTTCGCCGAATATAACTTCGGCCCCTTTCAACGTGGGCCATTTTTTTGGTATTAGTCTTGTTCGAAACACAATCCAACACACTATTTAGAGTGTTATTTTCAAGCTTATATCTGCAGATTTGCATGTTTTATTTCGGTATTTCAAAATATCTAAATTTTACGCGAGAGCTTTGACCGGAAGTAATTACTTGGCAACTGGCAACAGTGGTACACCAAATTTTGAAATTAAATCCCATTCATTACCTATACTAGTGCAAAGTTTTACCCTTGCCATTTGACGTTTGAACATGAAGCTTAATTTAAACTCCCTAATATTTCTGGTCTGATCTTATCTTATAGATCATATAGATGTGTTAGGTGCACCCGATTAGCGCGTTTGACGCCGGCTGACAGCCGGAAATTTTGTCTCCGATTGGTCCGCTGCCAGCCAGCCAGGCTGTACTATAGTATACTGTTCGTTCAAAAACGCGCGCATTTTGGAGACTGGTTCTAGAATGTTTTCGTAAGCAGAAAACCACCAAAATTACAGTAAATTTTCCGAAAATCATCGAAATTCATCTAAATTCATCTTCCCAATGCATATAGCTAGCTATGCGACAGGTAAATAAACGAGAAAAAACAATTACGGCAAAGAGAAAAATTGAGAATTATTTGCGTTCACTCTGAGATTCGAACTCACGACATTCGCGTCAACCTCATGCGCGTTTACACTTTGTGTTACTCCCGCACGCCACCACACCTTTCGCACATATAAACGTGTTATTCGTGGCCACCGCGATTTATGATTGCGTAAAAATGTACACAATTGTTCACGCCAAGAGTATACGCTTTAATACAATACTTACAATACATTACAGTATTGATCGCGGCAACCAACCGAGGTTATTTAACTGTAATGCAATACTACAATGCAATATGGCTATCAGTTTAGTCTATTAACTGTGGTCTGTAGTATACTATACATCACGGCTACCAGCCAGCAATACGGCTATCAGCCGATTACTACACTACATCACGGCTGATAGCCGTATTTCTGGCTGGTAGCCATGATGTATTGTAGTATACTACAGTATACTACAGACAGGATCGTCTGATAGCCATATTGCTAGCTGGTAGCCGTGATGTAACATCCAAACATCACTAACATTACCAGTAACATCAGTTACATTAACACCAGTTACATTTACAATGTAAATATTTCTTTTTTGTAAATAGTTAATATTTGACGCCCCCCGTGGAAATCAGCTAATTGCTGTCGCGGCCAGCGTCATTAAATAAAGTTTTACCATACGGCATGTATTGTAGTATACTATAGTATACTACAGACAGGATCGGCTGATAGCCGTATTGCCGGCTGCATGGTAGCCGTGACGTATTGTGTACTGTAGTATACTACAGATAGGATCGGCTGATAGCCGTATTGCCGGCTGGTAGCCGTGATGTATTGTAGTATACTACAGTATACTACAGACAGACCCGGCTGATAGCCATATTGCATTGTAGTATTGCATTACAGTTAAATAACCTCGGTTGGTTACCGCGACCTATCCAGTCATGTATTGTATTAAAGAGTACACCCTTGGCCGTGAACAATTGTGTACATATTTACGCAATCATAAATCGCGGTGGCCATGAATAACATGTTTATATACAATAAATTAACATATACTGTGCGTAAGGTGGGTGGCGTGCGGGAGTAACACAAAGTGCAAACGCGCATGAGGTTGACGCGAATGTCGTTAGTTCGAATCTCAGAGTGAGCGCAAATAATTCTCAATTTTTCTCTTTACCGTAATTTTTCCCGTTTATTTACTTGTCGCATAGCTAGCTGTATGCATTGGCAAGATCAATTAAGATGCATTTCGATGATTTTCGGAATATTTACTGTAATTTTGGTGGTTTTCTGCTTGTGAAAACATTCTAGAACCAGACTCCGAAATGCGCGCATTTTTTGAACGAACAGATAACTATACAGGGTGTATAAAAAAAAACTGAACAGATTTGAAATTGCTCTCAATTTCGCAAAACATTTATTTTTAGCTGGGTTTTTATATATATAGCTTCTTTGGGTACATATAATGTAGAATAATGAAAAAAATTCCTCAAACTCAAATTTTGTGGATCAGGGGGGTGTGTCTTTTCCAACAAATTAAAAATGGCTCGCGCACAAAATTTAAAAGATGTAATCATATTTTGAGTTTATAGATGGAAACTGGTGGAAAACGTGTTTATAGGTGGAAAACGTGTCGGGCTTTTAATTACTGTACAAAATTTCAGACAATTTGGTTTAGTTTAAGCCCTTTAACTATTTATTTTATTCTAAAAAATCAGCTTTTCGCATGCTTAATTAATGCCTTTACCTAATTTGCATATTGCTGACATATGCAAATTAGGCAAATACATTAATTAAGCATCCGAAAAGCTGATTTTTAGGAAAAATGTAATTTTGCGTGAATAGTTAAAGGGCTTAAACTAAACCAAATTGTCTGAAATTTTGTACAGTAATTAAAAACCCGACACGTTTTCCATTTATTAACTCAAAATATAATTACATCTTTTAAATTTTGTGTGCGAGCCATTTTTAATTTGTTGGAAAAGACACACCCCCCTGGTTCACAAAATTTGAGTTCAAGAATTTTTTTTCATCATCCAAATTATAAGTACCCAAAGAAGCTATATATATAAAAAACCGGATACAAATAGGTGTTTTGCGAAGTTGAGAGCAATTTCAAATCTGTTCAGTTTTTCTTTATACACACTGTGGTACAGCCCGGCTGGCAGCCGAGCTATCGGAGACAAAATTTCCGGCTGTCAGCCGGCGTCAAACGCGCAAATCGGGTGTGTTAGTATTGTTTGTATTGTGATATGTTTGTGATTTTACCCTGAGTGTATATCCACACAGGGCAAGCTTGAGAAATATGCCTGGCCACGGTGGGGATCGAACCTATGGCCTTTGGAATAATAGCCCAATGCTCTGCCAGCTGAGCTACGCGGTCTGGTCGGTTCAAGAATGTGATATTTCGGAACTGAGTGTAGTTCCTTCAATATCAATGTAATCCAGTAGACTACTGGATTACATTGATATCGAAGGAACTAGACTCAGTTCCGAAATATCATGTACTTGAACCGACCTGACTGCGTAGCTCAGTTGGCTGAGCATTGGGCTAGTATTCCAAAGGTTGTAGGTTTTATTTCTCATCGTGGCCAGGCATATTTCTCAAGCCTGCCCGGTTACGGTGTGGATGTACACTCAGAGTAACATAACAAACATCATATTCAAATGAGTACATAACACCAACACAGAAAATCATGATTACTGGATTACATTGATATCAAAGGAACTAGACTCAGTTCCGAAATATCAAACACTCGAATCGACCTGACTGCGTAGCTCAGTTGGCAAACAATTGGGCTAGTATTCCAAAGGTCGTAGGTTCGATTTCCCCCGTGACAAGGCATATTTGTCAAGCTTGCCCAGTGTGGATATACACTCAGGCTAACATGTATCAAACATCATATTCACCCGAGTACATAACACTAACACAGAAAATATATTTGTTATTGTAAAATTTGTAAACGTTGCTGTTCAGCCGTTGCAATTTCAAACCTACTGGTATACTTGCACATAGCTGGTCAAAATTATTTTGTTTGCTCTTGAATATTACTGTAATGTTTAGACCTATAAAGATGGAATTGTCTTCCTTTTGATATAAAATTTTTTGAGTTGCCGTTCAGTATTAATATGTAAATTATTGCTCGAATGATTGTATTTTTGAGTCTACTAGTTAGACCGTTCTGACATATAAATAGAGTACTGTTCATGTCAGTGACTCAGTGTTGGGAATATGTTATGACATAGTTATGTTCTAGTGAATTGTATCATACTAATGTACCAAAGTAATCAACCTGACGTTGCCAGTGTAAATTCTGTTTTATTTACTCCAAAAGTTATTTAAACTGCCAATTTTTGAAAATTTTGAATTGTCGAGCTAGTTTAGCTATGAACTGCAACCACAGAGTAAGGAACTGCAACAGTAATATTAAAAGTATATTACTCATTACTCACACTGCATCACGCACACAAATTTCGGGAAATATGATTTGTTATTTAGTTGGATAGGAAATAAATTATCATAGTAACTAGAAAATACAGGCATGCAGAAACCCTTGCCTTGCTGACAAAACTATTTTATTTTCCGAACATGAAGTATCTAATGTAGTTGTCATGGTAACACGATAATTTCTTAAAAATATTCTTACAAATGAAAAATCGCTTAAAAATATCACTTTTAATTACAAAATTATCAATTTTCCAACATATATATGCTAGGTATGATATTATACGTAATATAAGCTTCAGTACAAGGTAAAATTCAACCACAAACGCTTCGCAAAACGTTTTAAAGTGTTCTTTATAAAACTAAACTGCCCTTCTTCTTTAATTAAATGACTTTATCGATAAACTTTGAGTTTGCAATAAAATGATTTCAAATTCTCGCATGCAAGTAACTTTGCTTTCTTTCAGTTTATTTAAAAAAATTCAATATAATAAAAAAGGGAATCAATATTAAAGATACACTGAAATGGGCCCCGATATGCTGTCTTGTAATAATTGTTTCATATACGCAAAGGCCGTCGGATTTTAAAGCAATTATAAAATCAATATTTAAAACAAACTTACCTTCGTTAACGTCGGCTCCCTTCTTTTGGGCAATTCTTTCGCCGTTTCCTTCTTGAAATTTACAAAATCTTGCAAAAATGCGAGCAAAAATTGAATATATTTGCAAGAAATTTATCAATCATCATATAAAGAAATGTTTGCTATTTCGCTGTCGTTATATAATGCAAAATTTTAATTGGACCAATCACAGTGTTCGCTATTCATGTCAGTCCGCCATATTTTTGAGATCAGTGAGGATGACCACCCACGGTTGGTGACCCACGCCCGCGATATTTGATGAACTTTAGACTTCGCTAATGCTTTCGTTTCCCCGGGTGTAAATAGCCGGGGGGAATTAGTATCCTCGCACGGCGCTTCGCGCCGTCGGCTCGGGGATTAGTGGGTGGTGATTTCCTTGAGATTGTTGCAGGCTCTTCTTTGAGATGAGCCTGCATGAGAAGATAGGTGGATCCTGTGTCAAAGACAATGTCCGGAACGTAATGAGAAGGTAGTTACAGTTTCACCAGTGCACAGTATGATAATTCTGGAGCCTGCTATTTGAACCTGGGTTTTCTGTTCCACGAGGTCGTGTTAATTTTTTAGAAACGTCCATGGTTGAGAGTGATATTTTTCGTCAATTACAGCTGTACACCAAGCACAAACATTCATTAAATATTGTATTAACTTTGAAACAATCCGGTTGTACTCTACATAACTAGTATGAAACTAACTTGATATCAGGAGCCAACAGCTAGGCACGGTCGGGAAATTGAAAAATGAAAACCCATTGCAAATATAATATCTACGATGACAATACAAAGTTGCTTTAGGATCACTATTTAAATTCCGTATCTTTTATAATTATATGAAAATTAAGGAACAGTTTTAAATGTCAACTTTGTCGAGAACATTCCTTTGACTTGTCGAGAAGTTTTATATGTTTTAAAATAGGAAGACAAGTGACAATCTAATATTTTTTAATCCAAATTAATTACGATGACTCAATTAGGCTAATGTTATTTTAATTCATGTAATTATAAAAGTAGCGTCAAGGTAGTTTAAAACTAACCTCTGTACGCTTTTGTTCACAATGTAGCTGCTTCATTTCTTCAAATTTCCTGAGAATATTCTTCCAGTAACAGTAAATCTTGTATATTTTGAGTTGATTTTGTATGAAAGTAGCAAAACGAGCTTGTGTTGATAAACAAAGTCTGAGGCTCTCCACTCCTTCAGAGTTGTAAATTCCGTTTCGCGGCGTTATAAAGCCATCATACTCCAAATTTTTTGCTCAAAATTTTTATTGTATGCTTCTATCTTTGTGATTGTAAAATTGGCCCGGTCAGAAACGTAGCCAAGGCAAAAAACGCGAAAAACTACCATCTGTAATACAAATCTATACAAAAGTGTGATCCTTGAATCGGGTGGCTGCCAGTGACTTCCGGCTTCACTTTTGTATACTATGGATGCGTTATCCAGTCCTAGTACAGATCAGTGAAAAAATACGAAATGGCAGCCATGTTTTATACGAATATACTATGTGTTACATGAAGTGTAAGGCAGGTGAGCTACGAGCTACGAGCCTGCAGTATAGTTTTGAAAACACAATATTTACTTTGAAAATCATGGCAATCAGT